TTGATAACTAAAAAATATAATATGTAAATTAAATAAGTTGTAAATTTTTCTCACCTCACAATTGCCTCGTCGTTGTTCGATGCTTTTCCGGGCCACATTCATCATTCTTGTTGTTCCTTTTTGTCATTCACATGTTATTCGTGGAAACACGATTAATTACAGTCATAATAATTAGCAGAATATGACGATCGCACGGCATTTCCGATATTGAACGCACGTCACAACTATCTTATTTTGTATAATCGATATACATATAATAAAATAACGAATCACGCATAGAACAAAGCTACAATCTGTTCGGCAAATTCGCGGCTAAACTTATCCATTGTTCGTCGCGATAATGCTAATGAATAATATACGCTCTCATTTTAAAACGATTATTTCGATCTTATATTACATGTGTGTCTACATATATACAAATATATTGGGTTGAACGGAAAGTTCGTGCCGTTTTTTCGGTCTTCATCTCTTAGTAAAAAACGGCACGAACTTTCCGTTCAATCCAATAGTTCGTTCCATAGGTTTTCGAATAACCGTCAATAGCCGAAAAAACATTTTTCGATATATTTGAAATTGGCTATTAACTGGTTTATTTCAAAACCTATGGAGCGAACTACAATCACTTTGATCTCATTTGAAAGATAATTTAATTCCGAATAAAAAGTTTCCTGTATACATGGGTCGAAAAATGCTTCCTTAAAAAGTTAGCGCCCAAGAACCTCTGAAATGACGGTTGTTTTTTACATTTTTACAAATATCAGGGAAAGTATGCGTCTTTTAAGAAAAAGTACCGAAACAAAAGTTGTAGAGAATTAAATTATCTTTCAAATATTCATGAAAATATTTATTTCACATATTATGGCTTAATAACCATTTAATCTTGCATGAAATTATTATATTTTTATTTATTGGGTTGAACGGAAAGTTCGTTCTGTTTTTTACTAAGAGATGAAGACCGAAAAAACGGCACGAACTTTCCGTTCAACCCAATACAATAACTTTGAACTCATTTGAAAGATAATTTAATACCGAACAAAAAGTTTCCTATAAACATGGGTCGAAAAATGCTTCCTTAAAAGGTTAGCGCCCAAAAACCTCTGAAATGACGGTTATTTTTTACATTTTTACAAATATCAGGGAAAGTATGCGTTTTTTAACAAAAAGTACCGAAACAAAAGTTGTAGAAAATTAAATTATCTTTCAAATGAGATCAAAGTTATTGTATTGGGTTGAACGGAAAGTTCATTCCGTTTTTTACTAAGAGATGAAGACCGAAAAAACGGCACTAACTTTCCGTTCAACCCAATAGTTAAAGTATTCGCAGAATTTAATCCGAAAATGCGTCATCATTTCACATTTGCGATTTCCGTGGATCATAGCTTTGTGCAATGCGTAATTCTCTCGTCGTTTTCGCGTTTTTCTCTCGACAATATACACAATATACAATAATATCGCGTGTGATATCGAGAGCATGAAGTACCGCGCGATTGTCATGTTCTATTGATTAGTATTCGCGCGATCGTAATTAATCGTATCTTTGCGAATGTCGTATGAGTGCGACAAAGGAGTAAAACCTGAACAAGAGGAGAGGAGGAGGAAGAAGTCCAGGAAGGCATTAGGCGACAGCGGAGCGACAACAGTACAACTGCAAGGTAAATAAAACTTATAAACTATTTAATTTATTACTTGATACTCTTGTAAAATTGTTTATCTCCGCGATCCATTTACATTATTATAGGATATATATATGTATATAAAATATACGCAATACTAAGATTAACTCTGAAATAACATTACATATTTTAAACTTGAATTTTTTCAGTTTCTTTAAATGTAATCATATACATATATATAGAATAAAAAAATAATGGATATTTAGATATCAAGCAATTAATACTCGACATATTACATCCAAATTTTATT